ATCAAAAATACATTTCATAATCCTAATACTTTGTAAAATAAAAAAAAATAAAAAGTTTGTTCACAAAGCTTTTAACTTTTATACATTTTTTATGCATTTTTTCAAAGATAACTTTTGCAAAAATGTCTTTTGCAATGTCCATTAAAAACCTATTAATTTCAGGTAAATTTTTGTTTGAATTTAGTCCTTGCTTGTTATAAAATATTGATTCTTGTTGATATTTCAACAGATCAAAAAACTTTTACTTTATTCAATTAGTGGAAGAATAAGGCAAATTGGATTTTTGTAAAAAAAGACTCAATCAACGCCTTAGCTTTATCCTCCAATTTTGTCCATAAATCACTCGTTTAATAAAATATTAACGGCATAATAGAAGGTAATAAAACAGAACACAACGAACGTACTCCTATTGTGTACATGGTAGCGAAACTTTATCTTGAATGATGGTCATAGATATAAACCTGTCAGTGCAGTAGTGGCAAAGTGAAGTAAATCTTTACTCAACCCTTTCCCTTTATGTAACTGGATTGAATGAAAGCAAACGCTTTATGTGCTCTGTCACGCAATCGGAAACAAACAACCAACAACGTCTTATTCCGACAATTGAGTGAAAAGTCGATTTTGGTTTTTTCGTTTAGGAATTAGCACGTTTTCAATTAAGTTATCATCGGCTTATCAATGGGAAGCCGTTAATTAAACGTCTACATTAAAACTGGAAACTCGAAATTATGTTAATTGGCTCTTAAACACGATTAAGCTCAGGTCGGTAACAAAGTTTGCAATTCAATAACCTCGGAACGTTCCTGCTAATCCTCCAACCATGAACTTGGGTTTAAATTCTCAAATAAAATTGTTATTAAATAAAAACCAGTTTACTCACCATGCCAAACCTCCCGATCGAACCAAGACAGGTTATCTGCTTGTGTGTCGTAATAGCCCAGTACCACATAGTTACCATTTATAACTTGTTCTATTTGAGTAAGGGCGATCCGGTCTCCCTGTGAACTGAAGGCTACGTAACCCTGGAACAAATCATTCGAGAGGTTAATTGATCAATCAGCAAACTTCTTCGGGAGGCTTGTTATGATACGAGACGATATATTGGAGGATTACTACTTCTCTGATTGCGGTGGAGAGGCTTACGATTTATTACAATGAGGACAAATATCGCCACAAACAAACAAAAA